AAAGCACATCAAGACGACCCTGTCTCCATTTATTTCCGCCGGGCACAGCTAACCGATAACGCGGTCGTCCTGACATCGATAATCGATAAAACGGTTGTGCAGGGTGCGGGCGAGCGATCGAGACGGAAAGCTAGCGCGCCAAAGAGAAAACAAAAGGACTAACCGGCGCGACCGCCTTGCTTAATTACACGTTTATACACACACGCAGACGCACGCACGCACGCACGCACGCACACATATATACAACACACACAAATTAGAAGGCAAAAGCACAGGGACACCAAAGAAGACATGGTTTACATGTAATATAGTAATATATAAACACGGTGCCTTGCATATTATACACAACAGCTTTCGAAACAGCACGTCTCTTCGTAAAGCTACGGCTGAAATGCCGCTCTGTCTCAACAGCCAAAATTTTAAACACAAGACACGATCCTTCCCTTTCTTTTATATTAAATTTATGCGTTTCACGTTGGTGTCTGTTTGCGTTTTTCATCTAATTTATATGCAAAGAAGGAGGAATAGAACGAGCAGAGAGCCCTACTCTAGGTTAGGTAAACAGCTGTAGTGGAGAAAGGGGAAGCTAGAAGAGGAGGAGCGGAGGAGGAGGGAGTAGGAAGCGAGGTTAGGAGCGGAGGAGGAGGGAGGTAGAATAGAAGAGGCGTAATGAAGAGGGGGTAGGAAAGCAACTGCAGTGGGGTAGGAGGAGAGGAGAAGCAGGAGAGGAAGAGGGGAGGAGGAACAGGAGAGGAAGAGGGGAGGAGGAGAAGCGGGGGAACGAGAATGAGGAACGGGAAGGGGAAAGGATAGGAGGAGCTGGAGGAGAAGGAAACGCGGAAGGTGATGTGGAGTGGGAGGGGGAAAAGCAAGGAAAGGGGAAGAGGAACGGGAAGGGGAAAGGATAGGAGGAGCTGGAGGAGAAGGAAACGCGGAAGGTGATGAAGGGTAAGAGGGGGAGAGGCAAGGAAAGAGGAAAATGAGACAGGCGTCCTATGATGTCTTCTGTCACGCGCTAAGGTGCTTGCAGTGGCGTTGCGTGGTGCGTGCAGTCGTGCGTGCGTGCTGCGCAAGTGTGCGCGTATATGTATATAGAGGTAGCACGGCTTATTAAAATAAGCTTCGACACGTCTATTTGCGTCTTTTTCCATTGTATGAATTGCATCCGTCACCATTTTTAAGTGTTGCGTCAGCCGCGTGTGGTGTTTGTCGCGTTGTGGCAGTGTGCGTGTGCGTGTGTGTTTATGTGGGCGTGCGTGCGTG